GGTGTCCACAACATATATAGCTCCATAATGGTAAGATGCTTTTTTTTTTTTTTTTTTTTTCCCTTTTTCGGTGTTGAATAGTAACACATTGTTGAGGATCTCTAAAGTTCTTTATAAGAAATATCAAATATCAAATATCACTATCCAAGTCAATACTGCTTCTAAACTTTGATAGCAATGTCCGTGTCCTAAAACGTTTTCAATGATTTTCCTTCACTTTCAGCTATGAAAGTTTGCTCGATATTGTCTTATCGATGAAGACAAATCACGGTTGAAAAATGGACTATTAATTAACCCAGGTTGAAGGATAGTTTTGTCTTTTAACATGGTAAAGAAAATGGCGCTATGAATTTTAGTATTTTCCCATCTTTGGAGACCATAATAGCAGATGTGTTTAAAATTGAAGGAAACTTCCATAACCAAAAAATTTTCTACCGAGTATTTACATGTTTGAATGTTATATCAAAGTAAAGGTAAATTTAACATAATCTGATATTGTAAACTTAAATAGTCAAGGGACGGTATTTTTTTTTTCTTTTTGTTCTTTTTATATCCCACAACAAAATTTTTCTTAAATTTTCCTTCAATTATGTTTAATACGACAATACAATATTAGGGGACGTTTGGTAAGAAGATTCGTACCCTGATTTAAATCATGATTTATGGTTCGCTATAATATTTTCTCTCATAAAAAATACACGTAAATCAAAAATAATTTTAATCTCATAATTTTAATCCATAAACTAAATGTCTTCTTAATCACCACGTTTCTATTATAGACGTCCATTCAATTCTGAATAACACTACATTAATGTAAAAAACGCAACAAATTACTGTTTTTTTTTCTTAAATTGTTTACTTGACAGTTGACATGCTGCAACCTATAGTCTATAGTCCATTATCATTTTTTAAATTGGAAAAAAAAAATTAAAATCTCGTAAAATTTGCATTATATAAAAAAACAATGGAATTCGTGTAAGCAACCAACGAGCAACAACCAACTTTAAGGTTTTGCATTGAAAAATTTCCTCGTAGATTCTGGCCCTCTGTATGGACAAGAAAATGCCGACTTTTATGACTTTTTTACTTGAAAGAAAATTAAGATTAAAAAATGGAGAATTGATGTTGGAGGCATAATATAACCACAATTTCATGTCTGATTCCACTATAAGATTTAAAATTTGAATTCTCTCACCCAAATGAAAAAAAATAAAAGAGCATTCTTTGATAGGTTAAAAAAAATTACCGTGTTATGTGTTGTGCTCATATTTCTATCATATTTTTATTTTATTTTATTTATGTGCTTGTTACAATACATTGAAAAAAAAAATAAATTTGATGGTCTTGAAGTAGGTAGAATAAGAAAATGAATCCTAAAAGATTGAGTTTGTCGCTTGTTACAATACATTGAAAAAAAAAAAATTTGATAGTCTTGAAGTAGGTAGAATAAGAAAATGAATCCTAAAAGATTGAGTTTGTTGGAATATATGTTTTAGGGCGATTAGCATTTTCTCCTATTTGAACTTCTTGGTAAATTATATACGATAAAATTGATGAACTCACTCTTTAAATGTATTGTTATGAGATTTTTATTTTTTATTCTTAATTAATACTATTTTAACTAATATAACTCTTTAACTAAAAGGTATTAATTAATAAAGAAAAAAATCCAACACTCATGCATCCGAGGGTATTTATCTCGCTTTCTCAATATATACTAAATCTCAATTTTATCAATTAACTTTTACGCTTGCCAAGGCATTACAATGTAACCCATATTGATTATGCATTTTGAAGTGTTGATAGAAAGAAGAGGATTAATTGTCAAAATAAAAGTTTAATGGGCAATGCATTAAAGCATGAAAAGTACAGCGAGTAAAGTTCTAAATATGTAAGGCACCTATGAGTATTTTCAGTTGTTAATTTATACGGCATTTTCAGTGTGGACTAAATTACTACAGTTTAACAAGTTTAGGGGTTAATTGTTAAAATTATACATTTAAGTGGCAATATAATAAAGGAATCCAAAAATTTATTAGGATACAGTGCTAAAGACTAATATTTTATACTTTGGGTTTGGGCAATGAACGAGACTTGAGATTGCCAATTGTAGACACAGACAAATCAGGTCAACCCACCTACAATTAAAAAATGTTTGTTGAATTTGTAGAAAACTGTCTTTATAATTAGAGGGACACTGCCGAAGGTCGTGGTGTAATGTTATGTACGTATTTATTAGGTCTCTTTTATTTATATTCTCAAGATTTGATACTTTATATTTACGCGTTGTTATCTTATTTTTTATAAAAAATTAAGTGAGTTTACGCGGACCTCACAGAATAAAAAGGAGTAAAAATTAACTGGATGATAAGCAAAAAATTAATTCAGATCATTTTTACATGCTCATGATCTCGAAATTATTTACTATAGGCGAGAGAGTTAGGGGACATAAAGCACCTCACTAAATTTTTTTTCTAGTAGCCAAAAAAAAATAATAATTAGAGGAGGGACAACTGACTTTTGTTAATAGCTTGTGACAGACAGGGCCAGCCCCAAAACGGAAAGTGACTGGAATTGTTTTTGAGAAATGATTTTTATTGGAAAATAATCGATAGGGAATGAAAAAAAAAAAAAAAAAAAAAAAAAAAAAAAAAAAAAAAAAAACTAATATAATACAATTTACGACAGTTATATCCCTATCAAGCTGAGTTAAATTAGCATAATTATATTATCTTATAAAAAATTTGATTTAACTATTAAAAATTGTGTCCTACTACCAAAGCATTTTTTTTTTCCATGCCAAACATCATAATTCTCCTTATTATTTAACATCATAACGTCACAATTATTTTTACCGAATACTTAGTTCTGCCTCACGAATGAAATGAATTATCATTTTTTTAATTAGTTAATGTAATTAAATATTTTTGTAAAGTGCTGCACGATTTTACCCAAAAAAAATTACTTGAGGCATTTTTTTTTTCTTTAACAAATTGTTAATCAGTTACAAAAATAAAAACTTTCTTCCATCCCATATACAAAAGAAGGTTAAAACCTGAAAAATAAAAATGAACTTACTACAAATGGTGAATAAAAGGAAAAATGATAGTTATAATCATTTTAACTAATTAGAGCCCGTTTGGTTAGAAGATTCGTTCTCTGATTTGAATCATGGTTCATGATTCGTTACAATATTTTCTCTCATAAAAAATATACGTAAATTAAAAATAATTCTAATTTCATGATTCTAATCTATGAACTAAACGAGCTCTTAGAGACCTGTAAAATTAAGTAACATCCTATACCATAGTGAGTGGTAAAGTTTATAAATAAATTTGTGATTGATGGGAAAAAATGAGTTGACATAATATCGCACATGAAAAAATGAGTTTTCCGTTATTATCAGTTCCAATCTGCCTCGTCAAGGAAACCTATTACTAATGAAACAAAATCAAATTAGAATTAAGTCAAATCAACTGCAAATCAACTACATATCACTATAGATGATGAACCTTACCTACAATACTATTACTTGTCATTGATATAATTCTCAAATCAATTGTTACTAAAAAGAATAAAAAAGAAATGTCTTCAGTTTGACGGGACAGCCGTAGCCGTATTAATCCGATAAATGTAGGTCCCGTTTAGTTCATTCGTTCAAGTTGAGATGTAATTTTATATGAGACTTTTTTATTGTAGTAAAAAAATTTAATGTGACTGTTTTTGAGAGTTTTTTACTATAATAAAATTTAAATTTTAAACTCAAATTGATAAAATGAACGGGACCAAATTTAAGTGTAAAATTATTTATAGATTCATGTAATAATCGATAAAAACGGTCTATCGCCACGTTACATTAAAAAGTTGTTTGAGTGTTACCATGTACACCAAAAAATTAGAAATCCATACTAAAAATGTACGGCCGCCGGCGGACTTAAAGGACTTTTTTTCTTTTTTTTTGCTGGAAGGACGTAAAGGACCTTGCCTAAATGTAATAATGCTAAGTAAGGATGCCTTCTAGAAATCACTTGATCATCGACGTAACACGAACAAGCCAATTTCCGCAAATGACGTGCGAGAAATTGAAATTGGAATTGGTATGTAATGAAGAGGACAGACTGTAGGCCATGGACCCAAAAAAAAAAAAAAAAAGGCAGAGTCACAGTGAGAACAGACCCGTGCTTTGGGTATGAGCAAAAAGACACAAGAAGCTCCCAAAAAAGAGGAAAAGGTCAGAAAAAAAAAAAAAAAAAAAAGAGGTACAAACTGTTTTGTATTAGGGTTTCGACTCCGACCCTTGCCTTACACATCTGACCCAAAGTTTGACCTCTGCAGTTCCGAAAAAAAAAAAAAAAAACAGAAACAAATGTATAAACTTTTCCTATGAAATGACTAATTTGCCCTCCCAATATCCCAGGAATAACAACGTCGAGTTTTTGGCAAATCCGATCCCACCACGTGGATCGCAAGATTCTTTACTTTCTGTATGGTCAATGGTCAATTAATTGTTCCCCCATTTTGCTTTGGTGGGCATTCCCATTTCTTTAATGGTTTCATCTGCTACTCCCACACCCTTTAAAAATAAGTAAAATTAATTCGTTGTCAAAGTTGTACTTCTTGGGGATTTTAGGGAAAAAAAAAATAGAAATTGCATATTGTCGTCAAGAGAACTGTGAAAAAAGAGAGTAAACAAAGTGGGCAAAAACAAGAAACGCCAGCGCATCTTTTTCTCTTTGCTTTCTCTGCTTTTCATGCTCTCTTCTTAACTCCTCACGTCCAATGCCTCTCTTTCACTGCAAAAGCAACTCAATTACCCCATTTCCATATAATTGTGAGCTTATTTTTATACAACACAAGATAAAAAGGGCGTTAGAGAGAGAGAGACAGAGAGAGAGAGAGATTCCGTGGCCCTCTCTGCCTCTCGGGCAATGTGATTCAAAACATTTTTTGAAAAAATATCTCACCAAAGAGAAGAAAAAAAAAGAGAAAAAAAATTCATGGAATTTCGTAAGGTATCCATATTCAACATTTTTGTTTTTCTATAAGACTGTACACTTATTCCGTAGTCACCTCCCTCCCATTTGAATCTTCTCTTGGTGGAAACATTTGTCTTAACTGTACCTCTATCTTCCAAATCTTCACATCGCTTGATTACCACAAAAATTTTCACCCACAAGGAAAAAAAAAAAAAAAAAAAAAAAAAAAAAAAAAAAAAAAAATTAGAATCAAACTTTCCATCACCCCCTTGAATGTACAAATACCCGTCTGCTTCCCAACACTAACCCCATGGCTGTATCTTCAAAATTCAGCCACTATAAGCAGAACCCTCCGAAAGACCAATAATGCCAACCTTTTCCTTCCCGCATCGCTGCCACAATCCCAGTGGCCCGATTCTGAATTAGAAAGGCTTTTCTTTTTTATACTCCACATGCCGGCTGGAGACGCCACATGTATCCGAATCCACCTCCCCATAAGGGGGCCCAAAAATGGCTGCCGGATTCTGATCAATCCAACATTGTAGAGGTTGGATGTTGAATTTTTCCTTCCTTATTGCCAATGCTACCTGTCCTCAATAAATATTCTCCCTATGAAGTCCCGAAACCTCCTCGAGTAAAGCTTGGGATCAACAGCTGAAATTGACGTGGGGTCAGCTTGTAAGGACTTGTAGGCGTGCTCTAACTTCTTGCTGATGTCGTAGTCTTGCAAGATGTCAATGATCCCAAAATACAGGACCACCTCATAAGTCTCACCACTGCGTGAAGGAGTTAAATGGCTAATACCACCAGAGGTGTATTGGTCGAAGTCGCTTCTCCTGGCCATCCGCTCCGCTCTTGCGGGCATATTAGCTCCTAACCGGATCAATGGCTTCCTGAAAAGAGATAATTTTGACGTCAATTCAGTGAAGTTCACCAGACAAATTATATCATTACACGAGAATCACAATTATCCCCAGGTGGTATTTTACAATATCCTACAGCTTACCATGTAAAGAAAATTGAATACTAAGAAAATAGAACGTAATTTTTCTAGTTGGGAGAACTGTTTTGAGATGATAATAAAAATGGTTCACTCGGTACCACGCAATAAATGGAGGTTTTATTAGTGACAGATAAGAAGCATAATGGCATTACTTGATAACCATAAGAACGGTATGCCAAGCAGTTCAGCAATTGACAGCTATTCCTTTTGAGTAGTTTGGAAAATTAAATTATTGGGCCACAAGTACATATGAGAGACACATTGCACGTGCCACCACAAACAACTTTTAAGCAATTCTAAAACCCGCTCAACAAATTGCCAAGACAAACCGAGCTACTTTCAATTGTTTGTAGTGCAAACCAAATTTCAAAGGCAGGAATTATTAGCCAACTAATACCTTTATAGCTTAGTGATGAAATTCTGTCTATATCAACAACAAAGTGCGTGCAATAGTTATCCAAATTTTAAATTTCTAAAAATAATTCCAAATCATTTTCAAAGAACGCAGCCATTTAGCAACGCAAGATAGTTTACTTAATATTACGAGGGTGAAAAAAAAGATTTAAATAAAGAAATACGTACTGGCCAGCTAAAACCCGATCCATGTCTTGCAATTCCGCCTCAAGGAAACGACAGCCACGCATAAACTTTTCATTTTGATAGGAATCCTTTTTGCCTGAAAGGGGGGTCACAATTTGGTTCAACTTTCTAATAATCCAATATTTGAAAACGTATGAGTTACTTCTAAATCAGGAGAATGACATAATCAATTACCAGTCCGCAGAACAAAAGGTGACAACCCTATTTTGTCGTATCTATTATCATCACGAAAGTGAAGACCAACCAACAGACTGTAATCCATGATTCTCTCTGCTTCCAAGAACTCACAATCTCGATCTATTTGTCTGACAAAAAAATACCAAGAACATCAATACCCAAATTGAAAAGAAATAACGATTAAAAGAAAAGTATTCTTATTTGAAACTTACTTCATGAGCTCTTGGAACCAATTTTGTTGTAGGCGAAACACAAAATTGAGATCCAAATCCTTGAGGGTTGTTGTTTCATCAATCTCACCCTCAGGCTTATCGGTTGTTCGGCCATGAGAGGAACCTTTAAGGTCGAAACGCCTGTGGATTCGATACTCTGAGCAAAACAAATTGCCCATCACAATAAACCGCGTCTGCAGATTCAAACCATAGCAGAAGCAATTAGATATGGAAGATAAAATCTCACAAAGCAACTGATTCTACTTTAAACACAAATTGGCATCCTCAATTGCATACCTTCTGACCACCAACTGGTTTGACACAATGCACGCCGTAGAATTTCGTCACAAGTGAATTCTCGTAACGGCAAACATGTTGGTAATAACTAGGAAGCATCCTAATAAGGACCTGAAAACAAAGTCCCAACATTTAGAAGCCGATCACCAAAGTAGACTATTTGGACCTACTAATTACCAAAATTCAAAATGCTCTTTTCTACGTCGCCACAGATTTTCATTTTATAGCAGTGGGCAACATACCTTGACTTCTGATTTCTTCACTGTCTTTATCATAAATCTATCGTCCTGCGTCAGGTAAAAGAAGCTTCCACTCTTTCATTCCTGGCGATGAAAGCTCTCTGAGAGCGTCATTTCCGCAAATTGCTAGCATGTAATCCGCTGGATCAACTTGGAACAATTCCCTCAAATGTCTGAAAAACGCCCAGAAACAAAAATCAATAAATTTGTGTCAAAATAGTATCCCAATGTTAAAATTATTTGGTTTGATGATAAAATTAACCAGTGAATATAAGTAATACCTAAACACCATTGGACAATAATCTTTCCACCGGAAATCAATGGACTGATGAGGAGGAGTTTTGGTCGATCCTTCGGGAGGAAACCTAGTCCAGAACTTCTCTTTTGGATCGAAATCACTTGGCTTAAGCTTTCTCAACATGGAAGCATGTTTCCCCACAGAATGCCTAAAAAATTATTCAAAAAAAAAAAAGAACGTCTTTAAAACCCCCACAATTTGATATGACTTCACGACTACGAAATCGGACCCATTTCGCCCCCGAATTTACCTAATCCCTAGCTGAAGATTAAGCATCAAATCGTAATTCTTGTGCCCTTTGGCAATAGTCTGTCCGGGCTTCTTCGCCTCGCCGCTGAAACACCACGGATTCCTCCGAAACTGCCGGAAATCGCAATCGAAGCCAGTTGCGACCGTCGAAATACCGTTCCGATAGAGCATCGAAGCCTCCACATTGTCAATTATATCGCAGGTGATATCCCCAGCCTCTCCGTCGCTCTCCCAAATGCAGATCCTCGGGAAGCCCCTATCCGCCACGCTCCCTCTCGCCGTGCCGTCCACCGAAGACCTCTTCCTCGTAGTGATTGTCAAATTCTCCCCCAATAACTCCCCTCCGTTGCTCTTCTTCAAGTCCTTACCACTGTTCCCGGGGTAAAACGTCCCGTTCAGATAGTGGATCTTCATGTCCTTGTTCCAGCTCCCGACATAGCAACTCCCGTCGGGCCAGGTAAACACTCCGTTCCCCTTCGGCACGCCATTCTCCCACTGGCCGTCGTACCGGTTCCCGTTCGCCCAAATCAGAATCCCTCTGCCGTTGATCACGCCGTTCTTCCACTCTCCCACATACTCGTTCCCGTTCTTCCACACGTACCTCCCTTGTCCGTCCTGGAGATTCCTCTTCCACGATCCTTCGTAGAAATCGCCATTCGCGTACCTCTTCTGACCGTATCCGTGCTTCCGATCGGAGCTCCACGACCCGCGGTAGGTGTCGCCATCGGATCCGATGAAGGTCCCAAACCCTTCCATTCTCCCCGATTTGAACTCCCCCTCGTACGTCGCGCCGCTCGGCCACGAGAACTTCCCCTTCCCGGAGGCCTTCCCCCGCCGCCAGTCCCCCTCGTACATGCACCCGTCCGTCCACAGATACTTCCCCGATCCGTGAGGCACCGATCCCGAGAAGCTCCCGATGTAGAGATCGCCGTTCGGCAGGGCTTTCTCCACCGTCGTCGCGCCGATTCCGATTATCGCCTCGGCCTTGACCGAGAACGCCGCTGACGTGGCGACGGCGGTCGTGGTCGGAGTGACTCTCCGAGTGCTTCCGCCTTGGGAGCGGCTCCGGCCGACGAGAAGAACCGGCAGCGGAGGGGGAGGAGGGAGGAGGAGAGCGGAATCTTTCTCTAGAAGCTTTTTCTGGTTGTGGCTATGGCTATGGTTGCTGTTCGTGCTCGAAACGACGTCGCTTGGCGAATCGCAGAGAAGTGCTTCACGCATTTTCGATTCATAAACAAAAAAGAAAAAACTCCAAAAAACGACGAAATCTTCCTTCTTCCTTATCGCATTTCCAGCGAACTTGCCTGGCGATACGGCGTCGTTTTAAGCATCACCGGCGTTTGAGTGTTTCTCCGGAATTATCTTCTTCTCTCTCTGTCCTCTTTTTTTTCCTTTTCTTTTCTTTTCTTTTTAGTGCTTTGTGTTTGGGGGAATCCTCCAAACAAATCACACAAAAGAGCGGAAGAGAGAGAGAGAGAGCCCCGAACAAAAGGGTATGGTTTTAAGACTACACACACAGAGAGAGTAAAGAAAGAAGATAGAGAGAGAAACCTCTCGAATAACCCCCCAAAAAAAAAAAGGAATTTTCTTTTTTCTGAAAAGAAAAAAATTGAGAGAGTAATGAGCCGGCTTTTCTCTCTCCCCTTTTCTTTTCTTTTTTTGGGTTTTTGCATTGGGAACGTTGCTAACTATGCTTCTTACAAGTAACAACGCCTTCCAACAGCTCAGCTTAAGAAGTAATTTTTACCTGCTAACTTGTTAATTTTTATATTTTTAAGAAGACGAATATACCCTCGTGTTTTTCTACGAAGTTTTTTTTTTTTTTTTTAATTCCGGTTATTTGGTTGATCCCCAACAGTAGTATCTGTATAGCTCCTGGCTTCGTCGTCCTGACGTGATGGAATCGACTAAGACGAGAGAACCCAAAAAAAAAAAAAAAAAGAAAGCAATGGTACGTATTTCTAAGGGGCTATCTTTGCCCTTGCTTTTGCTCTTAATTACGAATGTACCATCTTTCCCTTTTTTTTTTTTTTTTTTTTATTTGCGATTTCTTTTTGTTATTTCTGAGGCAAAATAATATTAGGATTTTCTCTGTGGCCCCCACTTTTGACGATTCTTTTGAAACGTTTCTTTTTTTTTTTTTCTTCCCCTCTTCAATTAATCAAGAATTTTAAGCGTGTAGCTTTATTTCCTTATTTCTTTTTCTTTTTAAGGGAATTTATTTCCACGAGTACAATTTCTTTACGTGTAGATTTATTTCCTTATTTCCACGGGTACAATTTATTAAACAATTTGGATCAGTTTTCTTTATTAGCAAAAATTAGATGTTATGTTTGGTTGCGACCTTACAAGAATCTTTAATTTGTACTGTAATTGGATTTCTTTTTGGTCTTTGTACGTATAAATGTTTGTTCCACAATTAGAGATGAACTTTTTTATTATTAATTAATTAATTAACAAAGATATCAATAATATGAACCAAATCTGATCCCCGCGGTGATCCGGAGAGGCGTGCACATTTGATTTAACGCCACCCACTATCTCTCCAGTCTCCACAAATCCCTCAAAAGATATTACAACATTTTTTTCGGGTAAAATACATGCACAATTGGTTCGCTACATAGATATTTTACATTTAACTACCCACTATAAAATATTTATATTTTCATCTTTCACAAGGCTTGATTTTTTCTTACTTCTAAAGTTATCTTGATTTTATCCATTGTGTTCTTTTAGTTAAACCAATTGTTCTTGATTGTTAGATTATATCAGAATTAAAAATATTCATAAATTTAATTGAATTTAATAAAAAAAAATTGTCTAATATCACACATGATCGTCTAAACAAGGAAAAACATTTTTTCACAAGAAAAAAAAAAGGAAAAACAATTTGAGGCTCGTAAACAACCCCGTGAGTGAGATTTTTTAAACTATCTGTCATGTTAAAGACACTTGAATAATTTATTATTTATCAAAAAATGAGAAATTTATTTATACAACTATTTAAGGATTTTTGAATTTATTAATGACACATTTGAAGAAAATTATTTTGACCAACCAAATATAAAATAGGAACATACGTTAAAAAAATTATTTTCATAATAATAAAATGAAAAATAATATATTTTTAGAAAATACACAACAAATTAAAATGTAAAAAAAATTTAAAAAAAAAAAGAAGGATAAAAAAGTAAAAAATTGAAAAGAAAAAAAAATAATAAGTAGAGAAACTGTCACATGATCTATAGAGAAGAGCTTTTTTTACTTTTTTTTATGTATTGTGAGATATAATATATATTTACTATGTGAAGAAGTAGAAATGGGCATCAAAAGTCATAAAATGGGTGTGGACCTGCAATAAACAAGCGTGTGGCCCAATGTCAAAGAAGTGGGTTGTCCAAGACCAAGTAGGGGCAAATTCTGAGATCATGACCCAAATTGGTGACTCGGTATAAGAGGCTGCAAAGGCAGTATACATCATTTTCATGCGTAATTGACACTGCTGAACGACAGTTGGGGTGTTTCCCCAACTATCCGGTGGCCGTTAATTAGATAAGCCATAATAATTCATTAGTTTGACGTATGTATGGTTATTAAAACATTGATTGTTATTATATATGTATCATTCAACTCTTTTCCTTTTTCTAATCATTGTTCTTGTAATTATAAAAATTAAATCAATAAATCTATATAAAGAATGCTACCACTTTTTTGTCATTTTTTTTATTAATCATTACATTTATTATTTGACATGTGAACTCTACTGTCTCATTTCTATTTGAATAATAATGTATCATATTAGTAAAGTTTATGTATCAAACAATTGATGCAGAGAGTGACAAATAAAGTGATATTAATATTTCTCAATCTATATACATCTCCAGTACTAATGTACTATATAAAGACTGAGATGCATAAATTAGGTTATTGAGCTAGTCCAACTTCATTAATTTGGCCTTCAAAGCGTTCAAGTAAAATGGAAAAAAATAATAATGAAAATGTTATGGTAGGATATGAAAGAAATAATCAAAACCCGTTAATTATGTTTTTTTTTAAATGTTGACATCATTTTTTCTGTCACTTTTTTTTGTTACTTTTTACATTATTGTTTAACACGTAGACTTTAATAACATGATATATTATTATTTAAACATAAAATGAGATAGTGAAAATCATTTGTCAAATAGTAAATGTATAAAGTGACAGAGAGAGTGACGCTCACTTTTTTTTGTTATGATATGATTTTAATTAAATCTAGTTCAAAAACATGTAAACTTTAAGAATGAACAAATAATAATAAAAGGAAACCCTTGATAAATTTCTTGATAATTGTAGGAGATGAGAATGCAGTCAAAGCTAAATGATTTCTCAACAAAAATGTAGGGCATATTTAGCTCATATGTTTAAACTAGTGATTTTGACATTTGAAATTTAAATTTTTTATGAGATAAAAATACTGTAACAGAATTAAAATTATGAATTTAAATGCATGAATAAACGAGCCCGTAATATAACAGCTAAGATACTTATGCTAATTTTAGAAACAGAATCTTTCCAAACTGAACTTTTTATCTACAAGAATGCAGTATAACGAGCAAGGTCAAGAGTGTACAGCAAAGCATATATCGATCCTCTAGATTAAGCATGCACAGTATATATATGTATATATCATTTGAATAAGAATAATTAGGAAAACAACGTGTTGTCAAGGCTTGGAAATTTGGCATTTCTCTCGAGCAAAAAACCCTAACAGGACATCAATGCGGAGAACTCCTTAGTGATAGATTCATTGAGATTATATTTAGGATTAATTTCATAATGTTTCTTCAATTATTTCTGCAATTATGTAGCCTCATTTAATATGCTTTCCAAACTTTTTCACACCTTAAATTATATAAACCATGTTCAAAACACACTCTTTTCTCTAGATTCACCCACACTATAACTACCGTAATGATTAATGATAATGTGGTACTTATTATAATCTCATAAATATCTTTTAAACTATTGATTTTAAATCAAGTTAAAATTGCCACCACCCGAATTTTTTAAAATAGGGTAAGTTGACGTAAATATAACAATTTGAGATAGTATTTATGAAATTACATAGGACGGGTTATAGTTCATAATAAATCCTTATTAAAATTCAAGGACATTTTGAACTATTTATTATATACAATCTAGCAGACATTCGTGAAATTAATTTTATATATGACCCGAGTCTTAACCAAGAAATGATAGTAAATAAGTATATTTAAAAAAAAAAAAAGCAGCGCCTAAACAACCCGACCAATCCCGCGGAACCACAGCTTCGCAAACATATGGAGTGGGCTCTTCAAGTTTATGGCTCACGTTATGTGTATGCGGAGCCGTTTAGCATTTTTTATAATAAAAAAATTTAATAATAAAGAGAGAAAAACAATCCAAAAATTACACGCAGCAATGAACATATCCGTTTAGTTTACTGATTTGAGTTTTTAATTTAAGTTGAGGTATGACTTTATGTAAGAGTTTTTTACTGTAGCAAAAAAATTAAATGTGACTGTTTCTGAGAGCTTTTTACTGAAACAAAACTCGAATTCTAAACTAAAATCGGTAAAATGAATAAGAGCAATTTAATAAGGGGATTTACTTCAGCCACCAACTGTTTTAAATAACCAAGCATGCTTGTTATGATTTTTTTTTTTTTTTCCTTTTCATTGTTCGCCATAACATGCATTTGTAGTACTAAAAGTCCAAAGTCTTCAATAATATTTATTAATAAATAAATAGCAACACCATATATGCTTCCATTTCTGCCTTTCCAGTGACCCATCTAATTAATTAGCTTCGTGCCTTGACGACCTTACGCGACACAGACAATGAAGTTTGATATCGCTGTATATATTGCTCCACATCATGCATGATATATATTTATATCTACTATTTATAAATTGTATATGTAGACATTTATATTATGTATATATGATTTCAACTACTCTTTAATCATCAATTTACGGGATATATATTCCAGCTCACCCATCGATTTTCTTCACTTTCTGTCACAATTAAATATGCTAAAATATACTCAATTATTGGATATATGAGTAGTTCGAATATTATACGTAATAGATGCATGCATTTGTCTATGTATGGTTCATTTCTTTGATGAAAGAGATATATAGCCTATTATTAGCAAGATATACATATACACTTGCTACGTAAAAGTGTCATTTTTCTTTTTTCATCTTGTTTTGGTCGAGTTGTATTATTGTAGAATTTCAAAAGGGAAAAAACAAGAAATACCACTTAATATTATTTATATTACTCCACTTTAAAATAAATATTTGTCATTTAATTAATAAAAATAAATAAAAGACCATAATGTCACTTAATTATTTAAAATGGTATAGATTATTGGTTTTGTTAGAACCATGACAAACTATGTACTTTTAGTCTCATTTCAAAACACTAGACTTTTAATTTGAGTTGTATATTTGCGTAATAAAAAATGGCCGATAATCTAATCCAATCTAATCTTTTTTTAACTTTTTTTTAATCTATTTTTTAGTTTTTAAAACAATAAAAAGAACAT